TAATCTTCGCATCTTTGCGAAGAAGATGTGCAGCAGCAGCACAGACGGAAACACGGAGGGCCGCCATTGTTGCTGGGTAAAAACCGGGCCCACCTGTGTGACTGTAAGATCATGTGACGCCATCGGTTCCTAATGTTTTTAGTTTACATTTACTTGAACATGGTCAAATCTTTGTGTCTTTGTCCGGCAAAATGTTTGTTACCATGGAAGCGTGGGGCCAAGACCCAACTCTCCGGTAAATAGTTAGTAAATGGGGTCGAAAGCACAAACTTCTAGTTCTTACCAGTTGGTGACGGTGAAGTACAATTAGAAAGCTGTGGGTTTGATTCCACATCCCTAACACCACATATTGATGTGTTTCTGGGCAAAATATATCCTCACACCTTTGCTGGAATATTTGGTATATACAGCATAATTCAGGGTTACTAAACACACACCACAGGTTCCACCATTCCAGTTTCTGTTTAACAGACGCACAACTCATGCCAAAGCTTTGAATGCAAAGATTTTCACGTTCGTTTTATGCTGACTGAAACCTAAACGTAGGGTCAAGTCTCGGCATATTCAAAATGCTTTAACTTGAACAAAATGTTGTTTTTGTTGATAGTATTTTATAAGCTGATGTAAAATAAAGAACTCATAGCAACTGTGAGTTATATTCCTGCTTTTCTTGCACATATGATAATTGCATAACATTCGTCAAGTTATTGATTTTTCTCTTTATGTGCATTCTTGTCAGCTCTGGAGCTGCTAATTCTAAGATACAGGCTCTGAGAAATGGAGTTATTAAAGGTTATAAACATTTCTAAATGCATAGGTAGTTTTTCACTGCTGCCGTTTCCTCTGCAGCTTTTTCTGAAACATTTGAAAAATGGTGCTTTAACATAATTGCTTTGTTGAATTGTAATTCAACAAGCCTTTAATTTTGGTGTTGAAGTTAAAACATCAGTCAGTGTACATACAGCCATGATTTAGATCTATACATGTTGTTTAGTTTTAGATAATGCAACACTGTCTGGTGTAAAAATGAGTGTAGCAAATGATGCAAAAACACCAAATGCCAGAAAATGAAAATAGTGTTGGCTGCCTTATTGGTGTTTTTCAGTTGTGAAATTGATGTAATAAAATCAATATCAAGGAAACTACTTTTGTTCTTCATGTGAGAGCTGAAACCTGAGAAAACAGTGATTAATATGAATTATTTGCATATTGCTACTGAGCTTGCAGACGGAAACACTTTTAACCTGATGTGTAGTTTGGCATTTGAGCTGCACAGACTGTACACCGTTTTCCCAATGTCTCCAGAGATGAAGTACGGTTTGCTGTGATAAAAGTAAAATGTCAGTTGTCCAGGATGAATTATAATTTTCAACCACAAATAAACATTCTTAAGCAGCAGTAGCACTTTTGAGCTTCTTTCATAACGGAGAGAAGACGTTCTGCTGACAGCATGCTTCCGAGGAATCTGAGGGACAGAGTTTGAGTTGGATTTGTAGAATATTGGATGTCTGGGAAATGTTGAGAAACATTTCACTATAAGAGTTGGTTTTTATTCTAAAAACCTGCCTTTTTAATCTAGAAGACATTGAAACTTTTAGACATTACTTAGATATATTTCTTCAACCAATAATGATCACTGGCTTCCTGTCACAAACAGGAAAAAAATATTTATATGCAGCAACTTTTTGATGCTGACTGATCAAACTTACACAGTTCTGTTTTGTTTTATTATTATTATTTGTGCTTTTTAAGAGCTACAAATCAATATTCTATTTTGGAAACTAGAATGACCATTAACCATTTGAGTCAACTTTACTTTTTGTACCTGAACAATTGATAGAAATGTAACACCAAACTATAAGTAACCCTGAAAACGGTAAAAAAAGCAACTTTCTGTTACCTGGAAACTTTCCCAGATGCTGCAGCTCTTTGAAAAGCATGGACTGTGACTCCACAGACTTTTCTCTTCGGTTATAGTTACTCTAACAATTCAACACAACTTCCACCACTCTAAATGCTTTTCACAAAATAAGCAGAACTGTTGTGTTTTCTTTCTCTCAACACTAAAATAGCTGAGAAGAACCAAAGTATGACTTTTGTCAACACTGTACCAGAGGACCAGCCTGATGTCTAATGCAAGAATGGTGTCTGGATCGAGTTTGATGCATATATTTACATGAACTAATCCTTTCTCTAGTAATATATTCTATTTATTGCATACGATATCTCTTTGCTTATGGTGCTGAGTTTCTAAAGAACAATTACTTTTCTTTATTCAGCACCAAACACTAAGGAGTTTACTGACAGAGGATGTTATGGATCATTTCTGATCATTAATCATGGAAAAGGATGTAAAATCCACTTTCAGAAAGTTTCCTCTGATTGTTCAAGGCTTTGGCTCCCAGACTGTTGTATTCTAGTGTGAACTCTACCCGTCCTGGTCCAGGTAATGACATGCACTCATAGTTCATATTTATTTGAAAAGCCTTGCTGGGACAGATCGGTCGGATGCTAACGGTGTTACCCTCGGCACCAAAGTTTATTTTATGTGGTTTCATGAAATCTTCAAAACAAAAATGGTGTCAGTTTCTCAGTGCAAATATGTTTTTTGTTCTAAAACTAAGTCAGAAAAGAGAATATGCAAGAATCTTATCTAAACATTTAAAAAAAATAGTTGTTTTGTTATGATAAGGAATCCATCTTGTCTTAATAATGCTCCTACGGTAATGCATTGTCTTTGTGCAGACTCACGGAGCGGTGACCTCTGCCCCATGTTAAGGCAATAAATCGATGAGTGGCAAGAATTTTGAGTATTCAGCACATTCAGGGATGGCAGAGCGCTGAGCTGCATGATGGTTCAGAATAAAAGACGGTGCTCCGGGCCTAACCACTTGGCCCACTTGCTTTTTTTGTAGCATATTATGCACCATCAAAGAGAGAGGTAGGTGCGAACAAAGTGGGAGATAGCCGCTGACTGACCCGACCAGAACCTGGAGCTCAGTTTCTCAGGAAGACAACTTTCCTGTCCTTTCCAAAGTATGCAGTTAGAATAGGAACTCCAGGAGACTGCCTATTAAAATTCCTCGGTGATTCTGCTAAAAAGTCAATCAGCAAAAAGAACTACTCGTCTCAGCTTCAAGGTCAAACCATAAGAGAAGTTTTTTTTTTAAATGTAGAACTTTAGAAAATTGCAAAATAAATGTATGAGGTGTGTGTCATTCATGCATGTCTTCCCTCAAGATGAAGCAGTAGCTGAATGGTTATTTGGGAGTCCTAACATTTCAAGTCCAAAGTACCTTTATTCATGGAGTAGACAACAAATCACACATCATTAGCCATAAAATGAAATGTTATACTTCTAAAGGAGGCCTTTCATTTTTATTAATAGACATGCTTTACATTTTCTACACTAACATTACTTCATGGAAAGTAACAGCTTTCCAGGAACTAGCAGTAGACAGAAGCTTATTTGCTCAACAATGCATGTATTGGTCACTGCTTTTGTTGGTCTGTTTTCTTATTGACTCATGCATCAGAGGAAGAGTTCAGACATTCAGTTGTAGTCAGAGGTTTGTATTACACATCTGCAATGATATTTCAAAATAAGAGTTGGATAATTCCATTTCCTTTGTGTGTCTCCACCACAGGCTTTCTGTATTCATAAACGAGTTTCTGACACAATTACTTCTGAATATTTGACAACTTTTTTAATCTGCAGCTTTTTTATAGTTCAGGTCCAAAATCTTAATGTTGGCCTGCTTCATATGTCCAAAACCAGACCTAATGTGTGTAAATCAGAATTATGCTGGAATAACCCACTGTGTGTGTTTTAACAATATATTTGATTACCTGAAAAAAAAAAAGTTTAGTATCCCATCTACTTTGTAGAGTTAATCACAGGTAAACAGGCGAAGCCCATAACATTATGCTGCAATATTCTTAAGTTCAAACCCCTAATCTTGGCTAAAAACATACTTTTTGTAATGTCTAAATAGTTACATTTCTGTTTTGTCTGACTTTGTTTTCTTCAGAAGTAAACCAGTTTGACAAACGCTCAGTCAAGCTTGGTGGTCAGTTTTGGACCTGGGGTTTATTTTTGTGGTCTGGACTCTCGGTCTGATTCTAAGTATGCATTAAATCTGGCCAACATGAAGTGTGTGGAAAAAAATTTATCTCATCTGTAGTACAAATGTATAGTTTAGAAACTGATTTCGTTTAACTCTTCAAATTTGGCAAAGAGTAGCTAGAGTTATCATAGAAGTCAATGGTAGATGAATGTGCATGGTTAGTTGATGTTAATATCCAACCTTTTATTTCCACATTAAGTATCTGTTACTTTGTTAGGAAAAATAACCCAGAAAAGAAAAGTCTGAACTGTTGCTCAGATTTTGAAAGAAGCACAACCAGACTTCTGCTCCTCAACACACAGAGCATACAGGGCAAAGTTAAAGGAAACCAGGGACACAATTTCAGGAAGTTTTCCTTGGCCTCCGAATAAAAAGCAGAGAGGAGATTTTTCTGAGATCCATTTTTAGTATTGTGAGAGCTCTGGGGTAGGCGGGGTGGATGGACAAGGAGTGCTGGTCTGGAACTGCCACATGTGTGTTTTTGCCTCTGTGCTGGATGTGGTTTGGGTCTCCAGCTAGCAGGAAATGGTCTGTGTGGTCTAGCTAACAGGTGCAAGTTAAGTTACTGAAGCATGACACCAGCATTTCCAGCAAATTATGACTGTTAAAATAGCAAAATTCACTGCTTTAATTAGACTTCTTGAAAGTTTCAAAGCTCTCTTTATTCCCAAGCAAAAGCTGAACATCCTGAGTGGGCTTGACCGGCTCCATGGATGTGTCGATGGAATCATACTTCATTGCTTGTTTGTATAGTCTGCAAACAGAAGGGCACTAGATTTGATCTGACAGCTCTTTTCTCACCTGTGATCAGATGGATGGATAAATGGGTAGTGTAGTCATGTCTGACTCTTTCTGTGTGTCTCTCTCCTCCAGGTACCTGAAGAATAATCTGATAAGTACAGTGGAGCCTGGAGCTTTCCGTGGTCTTTTGGCCTTGAGGAAACTGTAAGTGTGATTAAGAACTGAAATAGCCTGATGCAAGGAATCCTGCAAAAAAAAAAAAAAAAAAAAAAGGGTGAATTGAAGTTTATTTTTTATTTCTGTGAGTTTTATCCCAGAGTGATCCCATAGATTTTCTGGATCCTTTAGTTAAGTCATGCAGAATACAATAGAAGTAGTTATTATTTTTTTATAATCTGCAGTCTAACTTTGAAAATAAAATGCCATAGCATTGTAAAAAATAAAGTTAACTCATATTTAAGACACAAATTAGCTGTTCCTATTGCTGCTAAAATAATGAAAATATATTACTGTCATGTCTAACCTTGGTGTAGTTATTTTGGGTTTGACAAAAAGACTTTCATAAAATTCACAAAATGAAAAATACAAATGAAGTGAATAAAAATGCATTGAAGTTTGTGGTGGCAACGTGACGAGATGAAAAGCTCAGGGGGTTTGAATAAGTTTGTAAAATACTGTGATGTTCCCTGACTGCTTCTTAATTTATCATGGCGTTTCGGTGCATAGATCAATAGTTACATGTTAGTTTAACAAAATACTCAACAAAATATATTTTTTATTAGTGTTCTTTGCACAGTGCTGATTTTGATGACTTAACTGGCCCAAAATAATCTCTAACATTAACTTGGATGAACGTACTATCACCCTACAAAGCTGTTCCCTTTTGGATTATGCGTTTTAGAATGTTTGAGAGTTTTTATAATCATAAAAATAGCAACAATTACAAATCAAAGATTTTTTTTCTTTGCTTTTTTTTGAAGACAGCTTTGACTTTATTGTCAAAGCTGCCGTTCTTATACTGTTTTTGCACTGAGCCAAAGAGAAATAACAAAGTGTTTTGTTTCACCTGCATTTTTTCAACCTCACTATATAAAAAAACATTAATATTTGATGGGTGAGCCATAATGTGTGGAATGCAAATAGGGGGAAAAGGGAAGCAGGAGTGTGCAGGAAGAGCAGCTGTTTATTGTTTTGGAAGCATCAGGGTCAGAAGTCCTAGTTATTGTTCAGCCGCATTCTGCAGCACAAAAATAGAGCATTAAGAATAAGTAGACCTTCACACCCAGCAATAAGCCATAACAATGGCTTTTACCGCTTATAAATGGTATTTTTATTTGTTTTTTTTTTCATTCAAAGCTTTTAAAAGATTCAGTGTTTAAAAATAGAACGAGCGTGTCTTTTTATTTCTAAGCAGGCCCAGCTTCTTTCTACCTTCGTGCTTTCTTCAGTGATTGCCTCAACATAAAAGGTTAAGGAGTGAGGGACATGATTACAACCTGGTAGTCAGTAGGATCTGGACTGGCAGGGATGCAAACAGTGAGTTAACAATATTGATTCTGGGCGCGTGTGCACGCAGCCTTGGGGAGAAGCAGAGGGTCTAATTTAAGTTCTCCCCAACTGGTGATTATTCGAGTGCTCTGCTTATTTTCCCACAGCTGCTCCAGCCCAGTAGCTCTTTAATTACAGTGTGTGTGGGCGCGGAGATTTGGACACAACAGCGCTCCGCCACTCGCATATGGGCGCCTGCTCCAACTGTTCATATCTGTTTGTGTTTAGAAGGATGTGTGTGTGTGTGTGTGTGTGTGTGTGTGCCAGCAGTTGTTATGTGAAATGTGAAATTTTGCAAAAGGTCAGGATGGATTTCTCAAAGTGGCATAGATGACAGAGAAAAAACAGCGTTTTCAGCTGCTTGGGTTCCCTGAGCAGGCAGGCATGCATGGAAGCACATATTACCACAGACGCATCTCTGATTTCTGTTCCTACTTATTCTGACGACCATGTCAAGAAAATGCTCCTAGTCAAGTGAGGCATACTTCTTCTTTGCCTTTTTGTCCTTACAGGGATCTGTCTGACAACAGAATCGGCTGCCTCTCACCTGAGATGTTTCTTGATCTGGGCAGACTCTTAAAATTGTGAGTAGCTACCTGTGTTCTCAGAGGTTTTGTTTTCCATTCTGTCTGCAACGGCTAAAGCCCGACAAGTAGCTGTAGTTTTGCATAAGGAATAGTGAGAGTGAGAGTTGTTGGCTGTTTTTGGACGTGTGTGTTTTCTGTTTTCCACCAACAGAAATTTATCTGGAAACATTTTCTCCACACTCCCGACGGGACTCTTCACACACCTCCTGGATCTGAGAGTGCTGTAAGATGAACAAACAATGCATTTATTTAATGGGTGGTAAATATACTCACTTAGTCTTTACTCTGTTCAATTGCTTGTTAAACCAGTGGTGAAACAGCCAATCACATTGCAGCAACAATAGTAAAGACAGCTTGGTGTAGAGCAGCAGAATGGAGAGAATCTAAAGGGGTAGTATTGGGTAAAAATGACTTTTTTGAGCTTTACAACAGGTTGCAATGCTGGAGTTTTGCCTTGATTCTCTCATACATGTTTGAGAAATCCTTTGATCTGGCTGAAGTGTACATCTGCTAAGCTCATTATAGAAGCTACTTCTCAGTGCAACGCTGGCAAAAAAGTTGGTAAAAATGTTGTTAAAGGGTTAATAGAGGAGCGATGTTGTGATGACTTCCTGAAAGCAAAGTGTTGGAAAGAACAGGACTTTCTTAAAGAGACAGACGTGTAATGTAAAGGCCTTAAATTATGAAGTGATATTTTCTTTCCGTCATATTTGATATACATAGTATTTTTATAACAACTGAAGGTAACATAGTTACTCAGTTGTACTATAAAATGATGCTATGTGGCAAGAATACATAATATGGCCTTTTAAGTGACCGTGGACGTTGTCAGCACCAGGTGGGCTGGTCTGAGTATTCAGAAATTGCTTGTTAATGGGCAACTTCTCAGGTTTGCGAGCAAGAGAAAATATCCAGATATCAGCAGTTGTATGGTTGAAACCGACTAGCTAATGTCAGAGATGAGAGGAGAATGGGCTTACTGTTTCCTGATGACAGGCAGCGGTAACTCAAATGACCACTTACTGGAGAAAAAGGGTCCATTTAAAATCATGGTTCCTAATGGGAACAGTGTGGATTTTTTCAAGTGGAAGACTTAAAATGCCTTGGTTTCTTGGGCAGGAGTGATGAGAGGAGGATTTAGTGGTTACAGTATTTGGGGCCTCATCCCACTTGGATGTTGCTCAGGTCTGTTGCAGAGAAGAAAAGGTAAAGCCAGTAAGCAAATCCCTCAATTTATCAGTCCGTGTACGTTCCAGCTCTCACTATGATCAATACTGAAAGAATGAGATCCTGGATTCAAGTGGCTGAAATGATTTTGCTCCATAAAGGAGGCAGACTGAGCCTTAGAGATGGGGTTAGGAGCTCTATCATCCAGGGTCAGCTCAGAGTGAAACAGCTGAAGCCAGTTGAGGTAATTTCACCATCTGATCATGGCGTCTCTTGCATGCCTGCCTTCCTTTAGAGGCACACAGAATGTTTTACAGAATTTTGTAATGGCAATATGGACTAAATCTATTTGAAATGTTTCTGATTCTGTGTTGAAACTGTGCCATGAAGATTTAAGGCAGTTCTCATGTCAAACTGCAGTCAAATCTGGTGAAGAATTTGACTCACTGATTTAATATGAATAGTGAGTCAAATTGTGGTAGTTTGTCTTTAAAATAAATCAGTGGATTTAAATCGATAGAGAACACCTGTCCACATAATAGTTTTCCCCAAAAAACCTCTTAAACTCAATTTCTAACATTGATGCAAATATTTAACTCTGCTTCTTTGCATGGGATGGAAGAATTAACTCCTAAACTCTAATTGTCACTTTTGTTCATTGTACAAAGTTTGTTTCTGTTTGGATTGCAGGCATTTTGCATGTTGAGCTAACTGCTGCAAGTGTCCTTGACATTCAAGCCCTACTGAATTATATCCTGACTGTATACTGGTACTGCCACCAGGAACTTTGGCACCGAGACCTTGTTCTGTGACTGCCAGCTGAAGTGGCTGCTCGTTTGGGCTCAGCAGAACTCGGTGAGGGTTGGTAATGACACGGTCTGTGTTTTCCCAACCCACCTCCATGGCCTGGAGCTGCGCAGCCTGCGAGAACAGCAGCTCAAATGTGGTAAGACCTTCTTTTCTATAACTGTGTAGGGCGAACACAACTCGGACAAGACGAGCTCCGAGTTCCCTAAATGTTGCATCATTTGTGAACAATCGTTGAGTGAATGTATACATGCTTTTATTTATTTTATAATTATTCTAAGTTGGAAACATGCAACTTGTTTTTATATCCACTTTCTTTACTCTGATACTCCTAAATTATCTAAGTCAGCAATGTTTTAAAGTCCACCTCAGACCAGCTATAAAGATGTGGAGAATTTTAAAGCTGCTCTTTCTAAAATAATATATCCTAAATTGTGAGTATCTCACACAACCGCAAATCCACCTAAACATGGCCAAGGATGTTATTAAAGAATCAACCAAGGTTCCTCTGGAGGAGCTGAGGAGAATCTGCAGCTGGAAGTAGATGGAAGAGCGGCAAGAAGAAAACAGCTGTTGAAAGAAAACCATGTGACTTTACATTTATTTAAGGTTTCACAGGTGGTGCAGACGACGCAGCAAACTTGTGGAATAGGATGCGTTGGTTACATGAAAGGCATAATGACCTCACTGTAGTTTTTTTACAAAGATGAGTGAGCAAAAATGCTTCCCTGGTGGGGATAACTTCAAAAAAAAACAAAAAAACAATGCATCTGTAATTTTATTGAAATGTAGTTTTACAGAGTATTTACTCAGTGGAACAAATGCATGCCACAGTTTCCTGGACTTCATCTGTAAATATGAAAGCCGTGTATTGTTTCCCTTCCACTTCACAGACATGCATTACTTTCTGTTGGTCTCAGGTGTTGCATTTCCTTCACAACAAAGAGTGAAGGAAAATGCAAGCTGAAGAGACACATTTACTAGACATTGTGTGTATTAAAGACAACAACATTGAAACATCTAATGTATGTTTTCTGCTCATTTAGGGCAACAGATTTTTGAGGATATTAAAATGACTTCATCAAGCAAAAGAGAAATCCAACAGTCTTTATCTCCTTTTATCTAAAACTGAAACTGTGGTTGTCTTCCCAGCCTTTCTCTGTCCTTCCCTCAATTTTCCCTCTTTTTTCCCTCCCTCTATCTCCTCACTTTGTGCCGCAGTCCACAGGGGAATTGTATTTCATATGTGATAGGATCATTCTCCCCTTCTCCTTATATCTGGATTGTGCCGGGGACATTGCTCGGGAATGAGAAAATGTCTGTGTGTTTGTCCTCGTGTGCGTATATGTGTGAACTACAGGCATCTAACATGAAGACGCACAATGCGACACCGCTCCCAGGAAACTAATTAAGAGATATGCGTTTTGGTGTGCATCATGCACACGATCCCCCTCCTGCAGTTCTTGTTTTTGCGTACACAGCCGGTGCTATCCAAAGATGTCTAAACCACAGACATTGCAGGCTGATTTCCTCCAGTCCTAACTGGATGTGTTCTTCATTTAGTCAAAACAATCCAAAGCAATTACAGGCTAATTCTGCACAGTCCCCAGACAAAGAGCCAAGAGAGGAATCCAGTGGCAGGACAAAGAGCACTCGTTTCAGGCCCTAAAGCATCCATTATGGGATTACAGTGATAACATTATGGGCGCCATGCTCGTGCAATTCTTGGCCTTCATACAGCACTCTACACTAACTTCATCTTACACCACCTTGTTTGTTCACTTGGCAGCAAGCAGTTTGCAGTTGGATGCTGTGAGATGCGGTCAGAGCCAGGCTTTAGCTGCTATTTGTTGGTTGTTCTGTTCAAATGTCTGCACTTCTTTAGAGAGTCATTCACAGTCCAGGTAAGGTTGAAGCCATTATTTATAAAAATGCTTTTGAAAAACGGAATAGAGCATGAATATACCTCAACAACTCAAGGTACTTTACAAATATTGACATTTATTGACTCATTATTTTATCTGCAGTTTTTATTGAAAGGATGCATGTCACACCATGTGTTACTTGGACTCTTTGCTTCTGTTTTTCCTTGTATTGATTTCTTATTTTCCTTCATACATGTTTGTTTCCTCTCTTGGTTGAGTTATTTTCATCTGATCAGTCCTGTCAGGTTTTACTCTTGATCTGCTCTTAGTTTTATTCTTTGTGATGGTTAGAGGTAGATTAATTTTCCCGGTTGGTATTAGTGCCACAGACTCCCAATTGAATTTAGACTTAGACTTTTTTTTAGCTATTCTCATATATCCATTGATTTTAAGCTGCTCCATTGTAGCTTTGACTGGATTTTCTTTTTGTCCCTCTGGCAGGTGGACCAATCTCAGGTCTTTTTCTGTTTTCTTTGACTTGTTTAAAGGCACAGCTCACATATTTGTTTATAAGCCAAACCCACTTTAAACCTGTCCTTCAGTTTCAGCTTCTGAGCCGATAAGAGGCTGTTTGCTCCTCATTGTTCCCAACAAACCTCTGAAACCTTCATAACTATATTCAGATCAGTATTTATTGGACTATATTAGTTATGTGACCTTTGAAAGTAATGGAGCTATTTACATTCCGCACTTTTCAGATTCATTTGTGGGGAGGAAAAAAAAAATCATGCATTACTTTTTGTTAAAATCCCAACAAACTGTTAGAGTTTCTAAAATAATTAAAAAAAGTTAAATGGGCCTGACATCATTTGCAAAGTTTTGTATATTTATTTCGCTCTGCAGCATCCTGAGTGTGATGGATAACAGATGTTTGCCCTAAACATTCTGACGCCGTCGCCGTGGTGATGCACTGCAGATGAGTGGGAACAGAGAAGCGTGCTGGGCTTCCTGACTTCAGGTGCTTCCTGTGTTCAGAGGCATCTGCTTCATGCGTTTGGCCGCTGCCTTCTTGTTTTAAAACACCGCTGGTGTAAGACAGCAACACCCCAAACATGAAGTACAGATAATATGGTGTCTTACCAGTTCAATAGATGATTCTGCTTTCATTGGCAGTTTTTTTTTTTATTATTCCTATGATGACAGTTTAGTGTAACTGCATGTCTCAGAGTGTATTCTTGAGGGTGTTATGGTCTCAACCGTCTCATTGGTGAACTATCCTGTTGCTGGTGTTGCTTGAGGCCTCTTTTGTTGCATTAGTTTCAGCAAAAGAGAGTCAGGAAAATATCCTGAGGCTGAACCTCTTTACTGGCTGCTATTTGTCTTGTTCAGCAACAGAAATGACTTCCATGACGAGGAGTTTGACTGAAGGTCCGCCAGTTCTGTCAGTTGTGGTGTTTGTGGAGGCATGCAGCAGTTTGTTTAATATAAGATACTTTTAAAATTTCTGAGTTATCTTCCTGAATCTTTTCTTTTCCTTTCCACCTCAGTAAGATTGCAGGGGAAGGGTTTCACGTTCCTCTCATGTTACTTTCCTTCTCGCCGTACAGATGGTCCTTTGGAGATGCCGCTTTTCCAGCTCATCCCTTCCCAGAGGCAACTTGTTTTCCGTGGTGACCAGCTTCCCCTCCAGTGCACCGCGTCTTACCTCGACCAGTCGGTGGAGCTGTGGTGGCGTCACAACAGCCACGGAGTGACCACACAGGAGGACATGGGCATCTATGTGGAGAAGACTCTACTTCATGACTGCTGCTTGCTCACCAGGTACCTGAGGAAACGTGAGCTGAGTTCTGATTTCCTGGTGATTGACTTGTTGCACTTACTTATAATCTCCAAAGTCTGTCAGTAAGTAGGTAAAATAGAAATTTCCTGCTTCATTTTCAGAATTAAGTGCATATAACCTTATATAAGTATTTTCTTTACAATTTGTCAGGTTCACAAACACAAATCTGAATGTACTCTTGGGGGACTTTAGGTGACATACTAATACCAAGATGATAGATGGGTTTCTTTTTTTCTTTTTTTTTCAGATAAAAGTCAGAAAAGTGGAATATTTCCACAAGATGCTAAAATGCTTCCCTATTCATCATTGAAAACATTTCAGTCACTTAAATTGGATAGAGAGCATCTTTCAACAGCAGTGTTTACGCTTGCATAGATCCTCAGTCAATGCTGGATGATGCCTGAGCTATTACAACACTCAGTGGTTTGCATGTAGGCCAAAGCTGTAAGTTTTGGTCTCATCTGACCAGAGCGCCATTTTCTACTGACATCCATCAAGTCCAAATGTTTGAATTTTATGATTTCAACTTTGGTTTGGCTCATCCACAAAACAGGAGAGAACCAAACTGCAACAAACATATTTGCTTATATGTAGTTTAGCATAGTAGTTTAAGGAAAACGCAGCTAATATCTCTGCAGACCTCACACATCCTGGACACAAACATTTACCCTGTGGTCTAACCTACAGGCTGTCTCTCTGATTAACAGAGCGAACATCTTACAGCCTGAATTGTCAGCTAATTTGCTGTGAAACAAAATAAACATTTTATGCACAGTCACATGACAGTCAAACCAATTTTTGTTTCCTTATGTCTGGAAAGTTGGCTGCAAATAGTTGCACATATTGTTTGTTTATCCTCAATTATTTCCTGTATTGCTAATCTATTTATGATTTATGTTGTGTGCGCTTTAAAACCAACGTCATTTTCCTTGTTATTCTGATTTAAAAATGGCCGCTACATACCATGGTCTGCAGCACCGGTGGTCAGTGTGTGTTGTTTCATAGAAAATATTAGGAATTCATTGTTTGTTGTGCATCTGATGCCGTAGGTGTGTTTTTATTCTTAAGAAAAACTTTGAAAACTCCATATTCTTTTCTGTACATGTCACAAATAAGCAGCAAGTCATGTCAGCTTGTTACTTAAATTCCTAATTAATACCTTTAGGTTACGTTGTCACATTGCGATGTGACGTTTTTACGATGCAGCACTCAGACACGGAGACCCGTTTCTTTTCTGTGCCTCAGTCACTCGGAGGATCTTGGGTTTTTCTTTTGTTATTGCCGCCCTTGAAAGGACACGACAGAATTGGCTTGGCATGGCACCAAAACCTCACAGCAATCCACAGCTCGTCTCTTGAGATTGGCCGTCCAGTCTGCCCCCCCAGCGCTGGCGGGGCACTGGCTGATCACACGCTAAGAGGAACAGATGCTGAATCATAATTGAGGTGATAAAGTGGACCGACATCACAGACGTTTGTACTTTTTTTTCTTTTTTATTGAGAGACTGCCACAAGCCTCTATCCTCTTTCTCTCTTTGTCTTGTACGTATGAGTTATGGTGAACACATTTCGGTAATGGTGTCGCCGTAGTTTTGGGACGCTGGAGCTCATTGCTGTGGATTATGTTTACTGGTGCCTCTTCTGACTTAGAGTCTCTGACATAAATATTGATGGGGAGCTAACAGAATTATGTTTCAGTGTGTCAAGAAGGCCTTAACGTTGTTTTATTTTCATTTGGTAACGAGAACAGTGGGTACATTCCTGGAAGGGTCCTTCACTTCCCTGGCTTAAAACACCACACACATAAATATGCATCCAAACCACCCAAAATGTGCCAACTATATGTAAAAATGTTCTCTGCGATTCCTGCACGTTACTTAGTAATTCAAATAAATTTATTTTAGGTTATTTTTTGGGGGGAAAAAAACCAACGCAGTGCTGTGACAGGTTTTCGCCCATGTGTCATATTTAATCCAGAACTCTTTTTTAATCATATTTATAAAAGCTTATTTAACTCCTAAATGCTATTTTTGGCTAAACGACAATCTCATTTTTCGCATTATAATATTGTAATTGGTAGTTTTATTTGCTTAAGTGACAACACATCACAGTACAAGAAAAATCACAAAATCTTACCAAGTAGTTTATGTCTAGTTTCTACACAGCAAATCCAGGAGGCCAAAAAGTGTGAAGTCTTTTTGGAGAGTTGGTACCTTAACTCTTATAAAGTGTCAAATATCAAATCTGCTGGAGTTAATCATTTAACACTTGCTAACACTAATTCAGTGTTAGATCTTAATATTAACTCTCACAGAGTACTTTAACTTCTTAAGAGTTATTTGTAATTAATATTAAATAGGTGTTTTATCGTTTTGAACTTTTAAAAATTCTTTGAAAAATAAACATTTAATAAAGAGGCAGTGATTTTCTCAAATGCATTTATTTCAAAACGTGCACCATAATTACAAAACATATAACAGAGTGGAATAATGTGCATGTTTCACATGTCGCTTTCATTCACATATTGCTTATCAAACGGTCTGACATATCAGCTGTGCAATACAAAATGCAGTATGCTTAATACATTTTTCTTCAATACAATATGCATGAAATTGTGGATAAAGTAAAGCCTGTATCAATGCATGCAGTTCATGTAATATCATAGAGTTTAACAGGTGGATTGCCAGATATGTACATTACATAACAGACCAACCTGATATTCAGATCCATCATTTCTTATCCAGTTTCTGTTGATAAGAGACAGTTCCTCTCTTCACTCCACCAGAGAAATGTCCACTCACTAACAGATTGTCTTCAGGTTGTTGGGCTGTTCGTGAAGTTTGGCCGGAGACACCAACATGCTCCTCTACTGCATCGGACCGTCTTCAGTCTCTGAGTACTACAGCCAGTGTCGGACTCTGGATCATAACAAACAAAAAACAGAACAATGAGAAACGGAGCGAAGGAATACATTTTTACTACAACTCTAACAACAAGCCTCCATTACAGAAATGTGGAGTTTCACAGATATTAACACTTACATAATCATTTTTGGAGCTTGAATCTTCGAAGAATCCATGGAGGGATCAGGAGGGGGAGGTTAGGCTGACGACTGGCGATTCACCCGCAACCAGACTGGTTCTAATATATACAAAAAGGCAATAAAAGGATTAAAACATGCTGCAAAACGTATATAAGAAGACACAACAGCGGGAATAATGCTCTCAACGTGAAAAAGCCTTTTACATTTTTTCAAAGGAAAAAAATCGATCAGAAAAGTTGATAAATCTGACCAATATGCATGTAAACGTTCAATATAATGAAAAACATACTCCAGATTATTACTGTTCAATTTAGCCCATAATTTGATTAAATCTTCACCGGCTCGATATTTTTCCAACGCTTATACTCCGCTAACATTCGGCATGCTAAGCTAAATATGCTAACACCGAGCCGTGTGGCGAACTGTATGATTACAGGTTGAGCTCAACTCAAAATAATAGTTATAAACCATCTCAGAAAAAAAATTACTTACCAAGTGCAGTAAATAACTCAGACATGTGGAGAGTAAATAGTCCTGAAATGACTTGGCTTCTGTCGCTTCGCTTCGGTGGGAATCTGTGATTCTGGGGCGGAGGCAGTGAATGAACTCCTTCAGTGTTAGAGCCGCTGGTGGAGTTCAGAGTTCAGAGGTCAAGAGTTACTGATTCCATTTTAACACCTCTAGATTTGATACGCAAACACTTTGTTTTAACACTGGATTTTAACTACTAATAATATACACCCCAGACTTACATAAACAGAATGTGACTAT